TAGCCATTTTTTACCCGGTGAGAAGTAGCAGTTCTCGAACAATTATACAATGTCGCAACTCTACGAATGAACCGTCGTGCAGTAGGTGGCCGTTCGCACGAGAGGTGCGCGGAGCATTCGATATCGTCGTTGGAAATGATCGATCACGGCTGGAAAAGAAGGCGTCGGTTTTGGTCTTACTAGTCGGCAAAAAGCTCCGAAAATATTTTCATTGTGCGATTTCGAGCTCGCTTCATGCGATATTTCGCGGCGCACGTCTGCGGTAGCGCCGCACGGGCACGACGATCGCATGAATCTTTCATCGGCTTCGCGCGAATGCGCTTGTATACTTGAGCTGCTACATCGCCGGCATTCCAGACGCTTCGCTCAAGTAACGCGACATAAAAACTTGGCGCGCACTTATTTATCCGGCGAGGAAGGCGTGTTTCTAAACGCACAATAAACACCATGCATTGCTCATATACCATGGTTGCTCGAGAAACTGCATAAAAGTCCACGCGCACGTGGCTCGCACGTGTTGAATTTCGTTTGGCAAAAAGTCGACGAGCGACGACTCCGATTTGGCTCTTATCGTCGCCTACTTATGATACGAAGCTAGCGCAGGCCGATACTCTGGGATCAATTGATCTATTGATTACATACACCCAACGAATGCCGTAGCAATTTTGTAACAGCTCGCTCGCAGTTTATACGTAATCTCGATCAGCAGTTGTCGAGCCGATGCGGTTGACCGATGTGCGGCCAGAACATACATGCGTGTATATACGTATTCTCCGGTGTATTTTTCCTTCGCTCTTTACTGCCAGCCTCGCATACCAGTGCAGTGCGCGGCTATCAACATCAATAGCTCCAATGTTTACAATACGCTATAATATATCGGGAATTCAGCGCTGTGCAGCTAACGTTGGCACGTAGCGCACGTCGGTGCGTTTATAAGTATATAGAATATACGCGCGTGTTTGCATACGCTGCGCACAGAGAGAGACGATGCGCCGGCGTGCTGCAGTTGAGTTATTACGTAGTTATGTTAATTAATGTTTGTGCACATTCTCGAGCGGAAAATGAGAGCCGCGATCGCTACGTGCCTGTATTGCAGCCGCCTGCATCGTGTCCCGAGCAGCAGCACAGGCAGCTATAGTGTACCAACTATCTCATTACATGGATTATTCGCGCGGCGGATTAAGGATTAGCGAACGATCCCGTCTAATGTTCTATTTATGCAGGGATTTGCCGATTTAATTTTAGCGCGATCGTCAATATTTTCTTAAACAAACCATTTTACGATATAGCATGTGCGTGAAAGACTCGTTGAGCATTAACGGGTATAAATACAAGTCTGCATTAGAGGCAAATTGATCGACCGTAAATACAAATTTACTCTTGAAAGATAATTCACGCAAGATTCGTCGGAGCTTTCGAGTAAAGCGCGAGCCTTGGAAATGGACTTTTTAAGGCGAGCCGATGCACACGAGGCCGTGGTGGACTGCACACGTTGCATTACACGTAGATATCGGTGGCTCCGAGGGCTCACTCATCGAGTTCCTCCTCCCTCTGAGACGTACGGCAGATAACAGCGGTTGCGCAGCTCATGACCCAATGCGACGTGAATGTGTGTATATAAAATAATATAGTATATAGTTATAACGCGAGCTATATAGTATACAGCAGCATCGGTGCTGCAGCGCCGGCATCAAGTGCACATTAACCCAGAAACGAATCCTTGTCACGGTAGCTTAATCAGTTTCGCGCGCACTTCTCTCTCTATTTCTCTCTTTCTACATACAATGATGAAAATAATAATCACAGTGGCAGTTGTCCTCGTGTCCGTAAAAAAGACAGTACAATAGATGTAGCGCGTAATTCTTTGAGCATAATATAACGCGAAAAGATGCACAAGTCGGCTAGAGCTAGGCGCGCGCAGTTGAAAAATGCACCTACATCTCACTCGCGTACACACGTATGTAGTATGCGAATGCGCCTGCATAATGCATGGCGGTATAGGAGATGGAAAAAGTTGCACCGCACACACACGCGAAGCTGCGTCGTACATTATTGAACGTACATAACGCAGCAACATCGCAAAGACTAAAGAGCGCTGCTGTAGTCGAAGGTGAGCTTATGTATACGCGTACACGCTGTGCTGCGGCTCTGGATTTGTTTGTATAGGAGCACACACACACACATAAATCGCGCAGCTATAGACGAGAAAGGGAAGACCTACAGGTGCAAGGCTGTTCTTCGGCTGCTGGCTAATGTGTCGTTGTTGCTACTGCTGCTCTACACGCACGTATACACACTGGTCTATATGCACGTTTACTCTATATTATTATGTATTATATATGTGTCGACTTTGAACAGCATCGTGCTTCGATGCCTTTTCTCGAACTGTGTATCGTTGTTTTGTTGCAGCTCGATGTTTTCAACGAATGTTTGTTTACTGCACATGCTCGAATAAAAGAATTCGCGTAAATAAAAATGACGCAAACTATCCTCTCGCACGTGTCCTTAATTCGAATTTAAACAGCTGTTCGGCCGAGCCAAATCGTTCCAACAAGTAAAGCAAGTCAAGTGTTACATTGGAGGGTATCTATAGCTCGATTTTGATCCCAAGCTCGACGTGTGCTACATACCTCTTACCTTGCCAGATAATTTTACGCAATAAAACGGTTAGGCTGCTTTTTATTATACAATTTAGCGTTATAATATTGACAAATTATGCATACGTTACCCGACTCCCTAATGTGTTTGCTCGTTTCGTTCTTGCGAGATTGGCGCAGTTTGTAAGTGTTAGCCAATTTTTACACCTCATCGTCGCGCAAAAAAAATCTAAAATCGCGAGTGCGTAAAAGCCATCGGTTTCGACGTCGGGATAAATTCAGTCGATTTCCCTTGAGCCAATTGCGAATTACGTTTGTACACAAAACGTATAGCCTTTGCCTGCTGTATGTACAACACGTAATACGGAAAAAGAAGCAGCCGCTCGAACCCGTCTATATACGTATGATTACAATGTATATATATAAGCCATATTTATTGTCTGCGTCGTGTTGATTTATTCCAAAGTACATATAGACTCGCAGAGCCAGTGAGCATCGATACTTGTAGGTGTAAAGTAATGCGCACTTCATCGGCGTTAATAGGATTGTTTTAATTTGTTTGACGATGGACGCGGAAGCCGATTAAGTCCGATGTACTCCAGAGTCGCTTCGGCACAAGTACAGGAGAGAGAGAAAGAGACAATTTATTACATGCGATTTATTCCACTTTTTCTTACAATTTGCACAGCAGGGATTCAAGAATTTCTACTCATGTTGTTATACTTGCTTATTATCATTTTTGTTAAACAGAGATATCAACGACGCTTTGAAATTTAACACTTCAAAAAACATAAATGAAATGTTTTGGTTTTGAAAATAAATTTACTGCAGCATAGTTTTATCGTTTTTCTCTATTGCTGTTTGAAGAATTTTGCAAGTACAAGGACTAAATCATTTTTAAATATTCCGAAAATTATTTATGATGTATTAAGTAATTTTTTATTTATATAAGTTTTTTACTAATGAAAATATTTTTTTCCCTCGAATTATGATCTTCAATTTAATTAGTCACCACAAGTGTGATTGAGAACAATTTAACGAATAAATATTCAATCGATTTAAAATACGATTCTCGAATGGCAGCTCCACCGTTGGCGCAGTCCAAGAGAGCCGCAGTTAAAATTCTATTTTAAACTCTCGTATTTTACATTGTGATTTTTCATTGGAATTTTAACGCGCTCCGCGACGTCGACCCGTGAATATACAACGATCCGAAACGTGCTCTGGGAAATCGATCCTGAAACTCACGCATCCGCCACGGCGGACTTGTAATAAATATGAAAGAACGTTAAAAGACTCGCGGGCCAAAGCACACCAGCCTACGATACAATATGCGAACGAAATGAAATTTTGGAAACGTTCTTGCACACACGCGGGCTCGACTCCCAAGCGCGTATATATATAATATACGAGTTTAGCCTTTTCAGAATTGCGCCCGACTAAATTTAAGACACAGACGCGCACGGGCTAGAGTGAAGTTTTCTAAAAAACAATGGTAAAACGCGAACGCGCGATCTAGCTCTGTATGCAATGCCGCTGTGAAAACTCGGGCGATTGTTTAGCTTTTCGGATATATAATTCCTATAGCATTCGTATTTGGTTTCATGTTGCGTTGGCTTGCAGACTCGCTCGAGCTTACATTGTAAAAAGCGAGAGATGGACAGCTCTCGACAGCGAGCGCGAAAAAGATTTTCAGAAAGCGTAACGAGATTTCGAAAGACTCCGATGCACGACACGAGATAAGTCAAACGTTGAACCCGTGTCAAACAGTGTCTTCGGACTTTGACGGGAAGCCGGTGAAAATTTTCTCTAGCTCGCTTTCAGACGCAAAACAGACGCTTTACTTCCATCGCAAACAAATACTCGCTTTGTCTGCACTAAATAAATAGCCTTTTTTTATAATCTTCGCCTCTATAAGATGTATAATTAAGTTAAAAAGCCCGAGTCTCGAATTTTTCTTTGGAAAAATACTACGCGCGCGCCATAAAGGAGTCTGGCACGGCGCGCGTGAGATGTGCATTATCAAAGTCGTATGCTTTGACATTAATTTTCTCTTTGTGCTCCGTAGATCAAACACAATTGAATAATACACGCGCGTGAGCTGTGCAGGTTTTTCGCGTGCGTTTTCTCCTCTTCTTCTTCTCGTCTTGTCTCGCCTGCGACATAAAAGCTGCGCGCACGCGGCGACTTTTATAAAAGGAATAATGAAAGATGACCCTCGCCTCGCTTGCCAAAAGGCCTTTTTAGCGATAATTTTCAATTTGACGTGATGCGCGTTTAGCTATTATATAAGCAGAGGTAAAACACGTGAAAAGGCGACGATGGGTTTGTTGACCTCTTTGACGTGTGCAGACGTTACAAAATTATTTATTTCACACGAAAAAAGTACAAAATTGTCTTATTCTTAAATTAATTAGTCGCATCGAAATATAAATCGGCAGATTTCACGCAGTTCACTTCGTCGTCAGTCATTTGCAAAGACCTGGTAAGGTTCAGGTAATCGTCGAGCGGGCACAAAGTGTCACATTCAGGTAGCTGTAGCAATTTAAATTCCTCTGGTATGCCTTGGTAGCGCCAGATCTACACAAACAAACGTAAACACGTGCGTTTATAGTTATGAGTCGTGAGATATGCTTGAAACCTAAAAAGAGCCATTGACGTCAATTGTCCTTTTGATATAATATTATACTCACTCTTACGTAATAACTTGAATTTTGAGAAAGGAGCTCGAAAATTAGAGCCGCGGAAAAATCTGGGAAATCTGGCTGGTATATTTTCAGATGCTGCAACAGCGAAATGATGTTTTTATCGTGGCCGCTGTAAACCGAAATTTTCCTAGCCTGCTTCGGTTCATTCTTTGCTTTTAATATGTCCTCATTGATACGTCGAATAAAATCGCCTGATATATATTTCACATGATTATTGAATCAGTTATACTAAATTAAAAACCCGAATAATTTATTATACGCACCAGCTAGATATCGTCGAAGCAATTCAGTTTTGCCGGTGAGTTCATAAAACAAGTGACGAAGTTCTTCCAACTTCTTATTAACTAGGACTTCTTTCATCCACGGAAGCATCGTCATGTTGAGCCTACTTTCAATATCAAGATTGTTGTGTAAAATGAGAAGATCATTCCAATTGATCGGTGATTCCTTTCCAGTCTTTAATCGCAAATCTTCTAAATACGGCTCGTACTCCTTCCACCTGATCTTCGTTTCTTCCGATTCAAAGACTTTTTTCTGCTCCTCGACGGCCCTAAAGAATTCACTAATTAAAAATTATCGCAAGCCTAGAGGGAAATAATTAAAATAGCTCATTTACAGATCGCATTTGTCACCAGAAAACAGAGTATCTTTTTTGAACTCCAAATAACGAGCAGGTATAGGCTGCCAATTGAGATTCTCGTGCCAGCGCTGTTTCTTCGATAAAAAGGCCGGATAAAGAGCCGACAGCATGAGCTGCAACGACATCATGGTTCGCGGCATATAGGAGCTTAGGCCGAAAACTTTGCCCTCTTCGTAATCGGTGCCGAGAAAGTCATCGTATCTTTTACGCAACAATTCGCCGAGACGGTACACTCGTCTCTTTCCTTCCTGTCGATAATCAGAGCATTTCATCTTTTACATTCAGGACGTTTTTTTATTAGGAAGAAAAAAATATTAATTGTGCATCGGGTGGGCGAGTGTAACTTGTACCTATAACGATTGACTCTTTAATTTATTCAGGAATGTGATTTTTCATTTGAAACAAAAAATCTCATTCAGATTTGTGTTTGTGCAATTTGGAGCAGTTGCGTAAATAAGCAGGTGACATAATCCCGGGTAAAGAATGATTTCGTGTAAAACTGTGAATTACTTATGTATATGAATAGAAAGATGAATCAGACGTCCTAAGCTACTTTTGAATAAGAACAGATCGATCAAATTATTGACGTCAACTGAAGACGTAATAATATAATCCATCGGATAAGAAAAGATAAAAAGTTAAATATATTACGTTGATCAAGCCACCAGGTTCAAAATCTTGGTGCATATTTGGATCATTGGGAAATCTCAGTGGAAACTTATCCGGCATTCTATCTCCGTGTCTAAATACCTGCAAAAGGAACGAAAAACAAAAGTTCGACGTTTTTTCACAAATTTTTCACGTTATTGCTGGAAACTCACGACGCTCAAGTGGCGCAGGCGAAGCTCATCACGGGTGGCCGCGAAAGCTCGAGACAATGGAGTAAGCTCAAGAATAAGCAGCCAGGCGCACAAAACGACCAAACTTCTCGACGTAGTCATCTCGGTTTCGTCGAACTTTGACTAAAGAGTGCCAAGACGGCAAACTAACTGCTGCTTCTGATGCTGCTTTGGAGCTGCGCGTTTAAACTTTGATCATCTGATTTCAGCTGTAAAGAATTTAATTATTATTATGAGACTGCTTATTCGCGATCCAAAATAATCTATTTTTGAATATTATGAGTTAATTGGACTGCGAATGGATGGAATATTATATGTATGTAAATTCAGCGGCTGCGTTTGAACTCGCTTAAAATTCTTTCAAAAGTTAACGGAGCTTTTTCAATTTTTCAGCAATCGAGACTCATTTTACGTTATTTAAAGTAATACTGCGGCTCTTTATTCGCGCAAAATTCTATGCATCAACAGATTCACGCTGTACGTCGGGAAGCGAATTCTTTCGTTCTTCAAGAGCAAAAGAAAAACACGCGAAAAATGGACCATAGAGTAGAGTCGAGTAAATGGTTGAGTGCTCGCTAAAAAGGTTCAGTACCCAGGCTGTTAAAAATATGTTGAAAAACACCGGCAGCTCCTACTTCTTGTGCACACCTCACCCATAAAATGGAGCGAGAAAAGCATCTGCTTTTCTGTTTGATACGCGATACATCCGCGCATCTCTGGTAAAATTCATAACGTGTAACAGAATCAGCAGCGGCAGCAAAAGAGAGTCGTTCTTTGGGCTTTCTCTCCAGGCGCGTAATGTCGTTCTTATATGCATGCACTATCCTGCGTTGACTATACGCAGACGCTCGGTAAAGTTGGCTTTTCATTTCATTAGACACTCGGCGAGTGTGTTTTATACATACACGAAAAAATGTGTGTAAACACAGGGCAGCAACAGAGATGAGCTTGGCTCTATGTCAGACCACGGTCCATGCCAGGAGGCAATTCCCCTGCCTACACCCATATAAATTCAAACGAATGGCTTCCGCGCGCTATACACTCTCTGTGAGTGTATGCATACATACACACAGCGAGCTGGAATGCCGTTGATTTTGACCGCTATATTTAGCTGTATTTATCCACTGTACTCGCGCTCGCACAGGGAGGAGAAGCGCGAGAGAAGGAGGAGAAAAGTCACGCGTGTGTGTGTGCATATAGACAATATAGTCGAGTGCGCACACGATACCGCCCAGTAGATGATGATGATGATGATGCGATGCTCTTGTGCATGTATGCGCGGCGTCGATTCGTTTGCCTGGAATACAAGTACCGTAAGTCAGTTGCGCGAGGCTCTTGTGCATGTGTATATGCTGCCTCTCCAAGCGCCAAGTTGAAAATAGATACACCGACTCGACTTTGCTTCGCGTGTGCATTAACTACTGCTGCTGCCTATGGGCTGCAGTTGGTATGCGCGACGCGAGTTCATTGGTCTTGGGACACGGCTCTGACGACGACGACCGACAACTGCGCGATGATGATAAGCTTGACACGGCACTACACGTTCCACTCGGCTCTTACCGCAATGATCCTCCGCAATGGGCTCTCTCGCGCTTACGACTCGCTTGTCCCTCCACCGAAAGTAAAAGTGAAACTGTAAACGCAAAAGCCTCCTAGACGACATTTATTATGGCACCAGTCGCGCTTATTCCGGCACCGACGCTTCTCTCTCTCTTTCTTTCTCTCTTCGCAGCTCTTAATGCTGTTGTATAGACTTGCGAACGCGTCGTCTCGCAGCTTCCGTCTGTATAATAGAAGGCGGAAGAAAAAACCGGCAGCGGGCTTACAAAGCCGTGACTCGAATGCTAAGTCGATCTTATTCGGCGCTTCGGAGGTGAATCATTCCGACCTCGTGCATTGTTCTCTGTATAAAACATAAATAATCGGAAAGAATTGGCGAAGCTAGCATATAACCCAGTAATCTAGTGAATGTAGCTCGTGTGTGATCGATCGAACACACGACCCCTTCCCCCTAATCTATCCTCCCCGCATGCGGGTTATTAATGCGACCAGCTGCCTTCTAATATCGAGTGCAAGTACAGCTACCTCGCGCTAGTCGGTCACGGAGAGAAAATTAATTGCCGAAAGAAGAAAGGGAAAAATTCGCTCCAGTATTAAAGACAAACTTCGTCATAATTTAAACGTGATGTCATGTAATGAATTGCAAAATAATTGACTTCGTCAATTTCTTCTTGGTTGATAAGATGGAGCTTTGGAATTCCAATGTCATCGTTCTTTTCTAGGAAAAATAACCAAAAATTAAAATGATCCGAAGAATGCCGAAAGAGTTCATTCTTGTCTCATAATTAATTTTACAGACTATTTGTTTTTTAAAATTGTTACGTAAAGTTGGTCCTGGAATAAAACTCGAAGTGATCCGTATCGTGCTTAAGATTTTGACTCGATGCCTCTTTAATCTATGATTATTTTTACAACTTTCTCGCATTAAACTCACAGAGAATTTAAATCGCAACATTTTTTCATCAAAATGATTATGCATTTTGTCTGAAACACGATTGATTCTCATAAGTCAAGATCAAAAATCGCTCGAAAACTCGGAGATATAAATAGGAGAGCATTGAGCATCCTATATTTTAACTTTTTCTACAACCTTACTCCGAAACGATGATTTGAAAAAAGCTCTAAAATTCGGCAGTCCAATAGGCGTAAATTTTCCGCGTAGCTCCCGACCAGACGTAAACCCACGAGTTATTACACGTGCACAGCGAGTCGACGAGCAATGCTCTTTTGCACCCGATCAATCGATTCGCGTACGTACACACACGAAGCAGCTGTATGCGTGTAGAAGCACACCGATATACCGCACACGTATGCGCGCAAAAGAAAAAAAAATGGAAAAAGAGGTGAAGAGTCAGTGGCAGTGTGTCGAACGGACGAGGCGAGTCGTATATACATAAAACGAATACATACGCTATACACAGATCGTTTGCAATACTTAACACGTCATAGTATCGATCGCGGCTAAGGGGAAGCGCCCACCACTCGCCCTCAAAACCTTTCGCTAACTTTGGACGCTTCGGACTATACTCTTGCTCGGGCGTAGCTAGCCGTTCCATGTATATAGTTACAATTTTACCTCGATATATATCCGATTCACGGCACGTGAGGGACTGTCCCTCGAGGATTCACCTACCTATGTATATCAGAGGGTACCGTGTAATCATCTTTTTTTTGCTATAAAAATGAGTGCGATTTAAATCTAGAACAACTAACGTGGCTGGTGGATCGGTGAGCTCTTTTTTTTCTTCAATTTTTTCTTGGTTTATTTGTTACCCACTGAACTTGAACGCCACAAATAGGTATTATCGTTCGGATACCAAATCATCAAAATTCACAATTGGAAGTGCCGATAATCACTGCTCACACAACATACCTAAAATTGGCTAAAATTTAACGAAGATCCCACAGAAAAGTTCTCAGATATTCTCGTTCACAAACACACATTTTCAACAAAGTTCTCGAGTGGTCGCTTCGATCAAGTGGGCGAATGATTCTCATGGGAAAGCGTGCGATGAGCACATTTAAACACTTACTCACCAGTCCTTAAGTATTAAACTCTGCTTATTGAAACTGTAAACTATGTATGGCACAAAATCGCATTTTGCGATATGCACGTGACGCTTATATACGTCCGTTTCTACACCGTTGCTTCGAGATGCTGATCGTTTATCAGCTGTGTAAGTCGCCGCGCGTGTTCTGCAATTGATAAGCCGCTTCGTCGCTGTCGCGAGTATTTAGTGATCGTGATAAGAGCATCGAATTAAGCTCGAATAAGAAAGAAGAGGACAACACGCTTGGCTCGAGTTTGGCAAGTCTGCCTGTGTAGCCAATGTATAGTCAACAGTTGTAAACTAAATCTTGAACTTGACGATAGACGCAATAAAATGCTAAAATGCAGGTAGTTTGCCGCGAATCGATGAAATTTAAATTTTTTATTACTCGCGTGAATCGCGATATCGACGCTCAAAAATACACGTACAAGTAGTGCGATAATCTTTTTTTAAATGCATTCGATCGATTTGAATGTTAAACATTGGGAATCTCGCAACGACCGATCGCGATAGCATTACGGCACGATTGTACTGGTAATATACGATTATTAATGTTTTTGTCTCGACTCACGATACATGGCAAAGCGAAGAAAAAAATATTACCTCCATCAAGCGTGGCGAGAAACATAATTTTGTTGTTTTGACTTTTACAATTGTCACTGATTTAACAGTCTCAAAACTTACGTAAATACATCATCGTTGAACTAAAAATTCACGGAGAAGAAACAACACATACTCGTCTTTGACAGAACAAGTATATAACTGATTTGCTTTCGTTATGGGTGCTGCAATATATTTCAAGCGCGTTGACAAGTTGAGTTAAAATGTTATCTGTTAATTTACATCTGCGGGTTTAGCTTTTAGTAATCAAGCAGTTAAGATTCGAAAGTTTTCTCTCGCATTAATGATATTTCTTTAATAATGAATCAATCGCTGGCCCCTACAACCATTTACATTGGCTCTCGCGCCTGATAGTTTGCTTTCGATCGTTAAGTCTCATGATTTATTGTCAAAAAAAAAAATTAAGCTACCTCACTAACGTTCGCCTACATTTACATGTTCTTGCTATAATTATTAGTTGCAACTTTGTTTTTACGTTGCGATCTAAAAACACTGATTTTCAAGATTCTGCGAGCGGTGCATCGATTTCGCACGAATATATCGCTTTATGCGAAAGTTTACGCTGCAAATTTTAATTCGCGCCGATTTCTTATGAGCTAGGATTTATTGGCTTCCTATTTACGTTCGTATAACTGGCTTGATTCGGCTTTACGCGCCGCGCTCTCACTTTCAAACAAAATTCTCGAATGTCAGGCGAGACATAAAAATCGGTACAGCTGTTAATTCGTTTGCTAATTGTCGGATAATTTTTCTTTCGAGCGCAAGGTCGAGAGCTTGCGCGCATAAAAGAGCAAAGAAAGTCGACTGGCATGGATGTATAATTTTCTTACGTGCACACAAGTCGAGCGCGAGATGCAAAATTATGTGTTTTTCCGAAAAAAAATCTGGTACGAGAGCACCGCGACGGCCTTGAACAACGTATCAAGCTAAGCCTCGAGGTCGTTTCCGCCTCCTTGTAATATTATATTAGCCGTGTGTGTATACGTTGTTGACGGAGGTCGCGCGCGAACGTATTCGGACTCGTCGCTCGACAGCTCTCCGACACCATTCTCTTTTTCGATCTGCCACCAATTTTCAAATTCCATCGCTGCGAGGAGAATATGTATAGGTATGCGAGCGAGCCGCTGCTGCTGGCGTCACCGTCGTCGTCTCGCCGAATGTGCAAATGTTGTGTGGCTCGGGCCTGTAAACACAGGATAATGAGATTTTATTATGCTTCTTGCCTATGGGCGACATCCTTTGGCATCGACGTATTAATGCCTACACAAGCTTATTATAATGCGTTTATTAAATGACCAAGAAACGTCGTTCAAGGTCGGAGCTTTGAATCCTTGAACGCGTGGCGTCACTAGGCACACGCATGTGCACTTGCTTGATTAATTTCGTTAAACTTGTCTATACATATTCTTCGTAAACGCATAAATGCCAAGCAGCGGGCGTTCGTTTCCGCGTACACATTTCCTCTGATAAAATATCACTGGCTATTCTCGCCCGTCGCTGATTCTCGAACTTGGCCGGTTTGTTGTGAAAAATTCGAGGCCTGGCCGGCGAGGGATGGAAAAAGAAAAGATCGGGCAAAAAAGTTGCGCGAAAGCGAAAAGAATTGACTCGTGAGAACGCTCGCGGCTCGCGAAGTTGGCTCGTGTGTGCGACTCGTGCGTTATACATTCTGCACGCAAGGCAGCAAGCAACGGCGGTGGCGGCTTATCATAAAACGTGCGTGCGTACATTATATATTATATACGAATGCGCTGCGCGGTTATAATATGTAAGAAGTGGCGGCACGAGCTTCGCTTTCACTCGGTATTATGCGCGGGACTAAATGTGTATAAGTACGTCTGTAGAAACACGCCTGCCATGCACCTTTCACTTTCGTCGTCTTTAGCACTGACCGGTGCTACACACGATGCGCGCGATATATCAAGTACACGCTATACGAGTACAACTTGAGCACATCCGCAGCGAGCTTTATCTCGTCAAATGCCTAGAGAGTACTACAAGCGTCCTTCATGGGTCCTCTCGTACGTATCGACGAATTGAGAAATAGAGACAAATCCAGTGCTTTTGCATAAGCGCGTGGCGATTATGCTGCTTGACTCATACTCGGAGGATATGCGATAATGATTCAGGTTTTTCTTATTTGAAATTTGCTCGAGCTTAGACCGTCGGAGAGCAGAGCTGACGCACTCCAAGTTGCAGATTGTCTCATACAGGGAAAACCGTACTGCATCGCCACGATGACCCGTGTGCCACGCATACGTTAAAAAGATATCGATGCAGAATCGAATCGCATTTTTTCTCTTCCCAGAAATACACACTTATGATATACAAGTGTCGAGCTCGCGATAGAAATACAATAGTATTTGTAAACATTAATTGGCTCGGGGAACGACTCATCGTCGGCTGCAGCGCACAATCGGAGTATAAAGGCACGAGACGTAGCAGACGCGATTGGCGAGCGAGAGTCGGATTCGTCGTCGTTTATAAATTGTATTATTGTATATGGGAAAAAATGCGAAAAATTTTCTAAAGTGCGTTTCGAAGCCGACAGCCGACAACATATTTTGGCAACTTGCAATAATTTTTTCTTGGAGCTTTACAAAATCGGAAAAAATGAAGAAAATTTTGGATTATTAAAGGTACCTCTGTAAACTTTTTCAGATTTTTAAAGTAAAAAAAGGCTTGAGAATCGATATCGAAGGAAGCGCAAGTCTACATGATTTTTGGCGCTCACAAGCAAATTGGAGTCTAGACTCTCGACTCTTCTATTCTTTTCCATACTACAAAAGATGCAAAAAGTGCATTTAAATCGCAGAGCGATTTAAAAAAAATTCTCAGTCTCAGTCATATACACAAACAACACACAAGTAGGTATATACGCAAATAACGTCGTGTGCGTCGCTCGCTAAGAGTTCGCCAACGCGCTACTATGTAATCGCACACGCACACGAACATACACATAACACACGAGATGGCCGACAATGCTCGCGATCTTTTGAGAAAGCACGCCTAATGACTCACGAGCTCTTTATTTGTCGGATTAGTAATGCGATCTATATAAATATAAGTGTCGCTTGCGCGAGTGTGTGAGAAAAAAAAATGCCGTACATGTGCTGCGGCTTGGCGCACTTATCATCGTCTCTCTCACGCGAGATGTGTATAAGCGACGAGCGAGAAAAATGACGTATTCGCTTAAATCATCGCTTCTGCCGCGGAGGCTATCGGATGCTGAGCAACGAGCTTCGTTATGCGCCGCTGCGCTATACAGATGTATAACGCTTGCACCGGCAGTCGGACAATTTACGACTTGGCGACGATTAGCTGCAGCACCAGCAGCTCGAGTAATATATATTATTCGAGCGTATACGCGTCGAATTCGCAGCGAGGCTTTTTTTTCGCCCGATCGAGCTTAACGCGCTGGTCGTATGTGTAGTTGCAGCCTGGCCTCGTCGTCGCCGTCGCTGACTGAAATATTTAATCAGCCGGTAGCTCTACGTGCTCGATAAACCTACACCTGTACGTCGCATGCACGATATAAACACGTAATGTTTTGTAGATCGCTCGAAAGCTCGATGCCGAACAAGCGCCGGCAACTGCACATGCTTATATACATACTCCGCTAGCGGGCTATTGGCTGAATTCCAGTCGCGAATTTAATGGGCTTTCAAATGCCGCGACCATCTCGTGCCTCGCACGTGAGATCGCAAAAAGCTCTCGAAGGGGGTACAATAACGTATAATGCCTCGTTTTTAGATTGTCTAACTTTAGTTTTCATTGCGTGTATTTACTCCTCTTGGTTATACCGAGAGTAGTAACGACAGCAGCAGCGTGAGTGAAGCTGGATTGCAGATTCCGTGCAGCGAGCTCGGTGATGCACTTTTTTCAAAAATAGACACCCTGATGGCCAACCGAGTAGTGAATCGACGTTTTTTTTTCGCAAAAGCTGATCTATGAATGATTTCCATTGTAAATGAGTATCGGAAGTATACGTGCGGCATGAAAATAAATAAGTCCGAGTCTTCGGAACGAGAGAGCATCGAATTTCTCGCTCGACGAATGACTCGAAATTCCAGATAATATAAGTTATTTTCTTCCCGAACGTTTCGTTTTAATAAGTCGAATGATTTGATTAGACCGTTTTTATAACCGATATTTAATAAATTATGGTTTTAAGTGGATGACTACGGGGTTTTCCTAACTATCATCAAGTCACTTTTGGTGACAATATCAAGAGGATATCGGGCTAATAACAAAAAATACGTAGATTATTGGCGGTTAATCGAAAATCGTGGCCGGATTCGATCGTGGGACAAGAGTCAAAACATTAAGAAAGCTCGAGAAGCGTCTGGAAGTAATAACAGAAAGTTTTTGACTGAATGAAGACGGGTATTCTCATCGTGACTGACTTCGTGCACAATGCATCGAAATCGAAACTTTTACTCTCGTACGAGTCAGATATGGGAAAAATCATTCAATTTACTTCAGGGTAAACTACGTAAACCGGTTAAATCGCACTTTTTTACTCGTCCTCCAAAAGATAAACTATTACGTAGAGTTGACGAGCTTTTTCATTGTGTTAGTCGTGAGAAAATTTGGCTCGATCTGCAACTTTTTTGAGATCAGACTTGGAGGGATCTAAAGATTCTCGATTGAAAAAGGAAAAAGGAAAGATCTAGAGTTATTTTCGAGTGGCAAAAGGAGAGAGAGAGCGCTAGATCGGCTGTTTTTGAACGCCTCCTGGAACGACGCTCGGCCAAATCAGACGATTTTTCCCAGCGATGTTTGATGAGAAAAGTGAAAAAGTATCGTATACAGAGAGACACGAGTGATTCAGGCTTGGGGGGGCCCGAGATATTGCCGTAAGATCAGAAGCAGCAGGACCGCGGGAATAAATCACACGCACTCTTGCGCGCGTTTCCGCTCGTTCGATTGGTCAAGCCCGTGAATGGCCGCAGCTGTATGTGCATAATAAGGCGGTATACGCACGGACTGCGTAGTCTCGGAGGCCCACATGCAGCCAGGATGCACTACATCTATATCTATATACCTCACGACGCGTCGGGATCGACTTACGCTCGTTCAGTTGGGATCGTAAACGCGTATATATTCCACACTATGTATAATATACACGGCGAAGAGCAACGGAGCTCTACTCGGCTTTTGCACGCAGGCATGAGAGCTGCGGCGGCTCGGCGCGAGCGAGTCTCCGCGAAGTAACTCCGAGACTCGGAGAGCTGCGCCCCTCCGCGGCTACGAGTGTCCCTACTACTCGCCTGTGCACTGGTGTGCGGCCCGTCGTTGCTATATATCGTTATATATACTATATACCACGACCGCCGCGAGCCGACCGCGTTCGCCTCCGTGTGTGTGTGTGTGTGTGTATGCGTGAGCTGCTGCAGACTGCGCGAGCGAGAGAGCTGCTGCTGCTCCGCCAGTGTGCGAAAAGCTAGTGCTATTCAGTCTGTGCGCGCCAGCAGTTCGCGTCGCGCACGTAAGTTGGCCATATTTCTTATACAATAGCTATATACGCAAAAGCTGTGTCTCTGTCGCTCTCGCACAACCTCGGCCCGTGTATAATAATACGAGACGACACACCGACACGCTTGGCGATCGCCCCCCGAGCCCCCTATATAGCCGACTCTGCTCCCAGTGCCTAGTGAGTACAAGTATATAGTGCCCAGTGTGTGTACAGCATTTGGCCGTGTTGCAATTTTACTACACAACACACATCCATTCACTTTCTCCGAGTGTGTGGTGGCTCTCGTGCGCTATAATACACAAGCTCAACACATATACCTACGACGCGTGTATAGCCAATAGCCATACGCGCAGGCAGCAAAGCAAAGACAGTCGGACGGACACGGACGTACGTATACGCAGACGTGTAGGGTGTTTGCCTACGAAACCGACGCAGTTCGAGAGCCGAGCCCCAGCTGCGTCCATGCGAACGAGACGTCCAACGCACACGAGTTTGTTGTTTTTACCAGGAGAGAATCGTCAAAATTTCGCCGTGCGGGCGCGCGAGCTCGCCCAAGTGCCCCGACTTCTCTTCTGTGCCGTGGTGTGCGTGTGACTTTGCAGTGTGAGTGAGTGTCTGCTGCTGCTGAACTGACTGCTCCGATATACACGACCGTACGTCACCAGGCGTGTATGCGACTCTCGGCTCTCCTCCGATTTTTGCAGTGTTCGCGCGCGTGTGTGTGTGTGCATCGCGCAGCAGCTGCACTCGTAGACATATCGTAACGTATATATAGTGCTGTGCACGAGGGCGTCTGTCATTCCTCCGCTGCTGCAGGTCGTAGCGATAGTCGAAGATTCCAAGTTTCTCTCCAAGAGCATCCAGTGAGTTCGTCGCTCTTCGGCTGCTGCTGCACTCGCGACTTTCGAACGACGAAACTCGACCACTGCTGCAATCATCGACTCCGTGTGTCAGCGTGTGCGAGTGCATTTGCATGCTCGCTCCTCGCCGAGGCATATCGGCAGCGAGCTCACCTGCACCTATCCGCGATACAGCACTGCGGGAAAGTGCGAGAAGGATAAGTGTACGCATATATAGGCGTACGTGTGTATTTTGTGCTACACGCGCGTGTGTGTGAGCGTAATGCTCTCCGTGCTAGAGCGTTATAGTGGTTGGAGCGCGCGTGTGTGAATGTGCCCGTCGTGTGTGTATAGCAGCCATTTGCACGCGGAATCCGAGGAATTCGACTGGCAAAGGAGTCGTGTCGTCGTGCAGCCGACCTGTGTGCAGTGTTTTGTTTCGCCTTGCACTACGCGAATCCGCGCCTCCTCGAGTTTGCCGTTATTGTTGTTGTCGTCGTCCTCCCGAGTCGACTGCTCGATTATTGCCGAGCCAGCATAATACAGCCTGTATAGCAGCAGGAGGCATAGTGCATCGGATTCGCCGTTCGCGTCTGCTACTCCTCGCAGCAACACGACTAGGTGAGTCAGTTTGTTGCTCTGTAACTCTCCGTTTGCGTGTGTGTGTTTTTATATCTCCGTCTTTGTTGTGCTCTTACACTCGCGCTCGTATAATATGTGCATGCGATGCATGAAACCTCAGTGTACATGTACATATACGTTTGCGCGCGCGAGTGTGTGTTGTGTATATGTGTACGTCTGGCTATAGTTTAGCGCAACAAACGGAGCAAGTTGGCATGCGTATATCAGAACTGTATACACACATATACAAACGCTACGATGCGTTGTGTGAGTAGCGCACGGTGTCGTATTTATATGCATAATAAACGCGGACGGACGTTCGTTTATACAGATATAGTTGTCTATATAGCAACAGCATGACGAGTTTCCAGAGGGGCGTAATCGCGCCTATACGTGTTTCTATATGCATTTACTCGCGCCCGCGTATATACATGCGAACCTATACACAGACGCACGGAAAGACAGGGGATTCACGCTGGTATTTTTAACGCTATCTTTCTCGATACTCGCGTCAAAAATCGCGTGCTTCGCGTCCACTATAGAGTGCCAATGCTCTTCGCTTTTTTTTTGTTCATCTTTCTCTTTTCTTGCTCTCTCTTCGAATCATCGGGCCGCGCTCGCACACACCCATGTATGCCGTTCTTCTTTGCTCGTTCTCTTTCTCTCTCTCTGTGCGCTTCCCGCTGCGTATACGCGCGTCCGTGTGCAGATCGTACATGTGTATGCGCGAGGGGGTGCGGTGGCGGTGTAAGCAGCAGCAGCAGCAGCAGCAGGCAAGCGACGATGGGTGTGCCGCGCGCCACCAGAACGAGACAGACTCACTTTGATCGAGGGGTGCGACTCGCGTATTGTGTCTCTCTCTCTTTCTCTCTCTCTCTCCTTTGCTATCTTGTATGCCCGTGTGTACCTACAAATATATACACGCTGTCGTAGTACGCCGTCGTACTACGGCCAGTAGTAATACGAGCTGCATCATATGGACGATGCGTGTGTGTGTATAAGCAGAAAAATTGGAAAAATAATATTATAGACGGCTGCTTAGGGAGGTGTCGCGGTCCCCGTATAGTCGTTGGCCAAGGAAACGAGTCGCTGCTTCTCTCGACTAGGTATACATACGATCGTATACACTTTATACTCTCGCACTTGTATACTTATCTATCGGTGGCGGTCTATCCTATTCGCGCCGCTGGAATGCAGTCGGCGTATAGCCTAGATTCTTGCATATCTATATAGACGCGCTTAGTGCAATGCTGCGGGTATCGCGCACCGAGTCAGAGTCGCGTACGTGTATTATTATACGGACTTTCACACTGCTCCGAGTCTTCCAGTGCGCTTGTGTACGCGTATTATATGTATAAGCCACCATAGGTATATTATTGCTGCCAGCCGTTGCTTTTCTGCTCGTATATATGCGCTCGTGTGCGAGTATATAGGAGCTGCATCGGACAGATATAGAGAGATGCCAACGTCTTCTCGCGATTTTCTTCTTTCGTACATACTCGTTTGGTTTTTTATTCAATTTGTTCATTACGCGCGGAGAGGACGATCATGATAAAATGTGTATACGCGGGCGCGCGAGCGAGATCATGCCTAGAGGCGCGAGAGACGGAGCAAGAGAGAGAGAGACAGAGATACTCGTGACTCACTGGTCTGGAATGTCGAGGCAGACGAGTGATGGGAGGATACTTCATCCCGCGTGCTGCTGCTGCTACTATTGCCGTTGCTTCTGCTGTGTTCGCTCGTTTATATGTGTATCGTGTTTATATGGCGATGATGATTGTGATGATGACGATGATGATGCGAATGTGCAGCGGTCCCGCGTACATTATTATACATTCACTCGCGCAGGCCAGTCAATGGGACTAGAATGAAATGATTGTACTTGATGCATACGGACAACTTATCAGCGGGCTTACAATGTGCCAATTGTGTGTGTATGTGTACGCGTCGATGCAATTGTTCGCGTCTATGCGACGCGAATGCATTTTTATCCATCATCCGAAATAATTCGATTTTATCGTTCTCCTATTTGTTCTTTTTATCGTTACCTTTCTCACTCCCACCTTCCTTCTCGCTCGTTTTCTCTCAATGTCTTTCCGATAAGAATGATGGATTCGCTAGTTTCATTCTGTAATGCAATTTCGATAAGGAAACAATCAACTTTGCGTGTACGTATTCACATGCAGACACATACTCATTAATATGATAGCCAAAGACCTCTATTTTGGCTACCTTTTTGTGAAGATTGATTTGTCGACTCGTGTAATTAAGATAATACTGAGTACACGAAATATTTCACGCTTTTTTGCCATAACGTTAAAATTGCTTGCTTGTAATCACAACCCGTTCGTTGTCTCTTGAATGAAAAGATTTGACAAATGAATGCCTGAAATTTTTATTTCTTATCTTCGTTAGTGTGTGTGAATTTTTACTGTCAATCTCGAAAAAGCATGACTCGTAGCAATGCGATAGTTGGCATGAGTTTTGATTTTACCTACATGTTTGCATAATGAATGAAACGTAACAATTTAACTTGGATCGTTGTTCATGATTTGTAATTAGGAGTGTGTGTGCAGCATTATCAAAAAAATTATCTGAAAATTTCAAAAGATGACGCTTATTCGACGCCCAACTATGACCTCTATAATAAAAGCGTTGTAATAAAACTATAATCAGCTCGGCTAAAAATAAAAAAAAAATACTTTTATAGCATAGCATCCATTTAAATTCCCGTGCTAATGAATTGGAATTCGTATTTTTTCCGAAATATTTCATAAATTTATGAATAACTAATCTACTTGGAATTTTTCCCTCTCGAAATTGTAACGAAAGAATTCGAGCAATTGTACATTTTTAACAAGCAAAGTGCGTCGCCTGGAATTGGCAATTAATCGCAGCTATAATGTCGCGGAGAATTTTTTCACTGGAAATGCACCTTTCATCCGCATATCGGAAATACTTTCTTCGCCTGCAAATTGGTTTCTATTGTTCATAATGATCTCTCCTCGGGCTTTTGTGTGCCTCTTTCTCGGCTGATTAGTGTCAGCGGTGCACGCGTGCGCGTGGCTGCATTTCCGCTGATCTAATTTAGAGCGTGAATTGTTTTTTTTCTCACTTTTCATCGGAATGCGCAATAACCCACTAAGTTCGAAAACTTCTCCAGACGCGTGTCCCCGATATGATGATGCGCGCGCGATAATTCATCACAAAAACGACGTCGATGTAATACAATCTCGGAGGAATTGCCGCTTGATTCGTCGTGAACGGCGGAGTCTGCCGAAGCATAGATTAACGTTTGAATGGTTATGCTATTGCTGCGAGAGAAATCACTCGCTATATGCAGGCCTGTTCGAGTGCGTGAGATTTTTTCGGCTCCGTAATATTTCCTCCGTGACGAGCTGCTGCTTCGTCTCTTATATAGAGCATAATTCAAGCACGCACACTCATGCTTTTGACTCGGTCACATCAATAGCACGTCTGTGGGACACATTAACTCGAAGCTCTTAACGCGTGACGTTTACAGGGTCACGAAGATTAACGTTATAATGAAGAAAAAAAAGGTTGAAAAGTCAAAAGACATTCGGCTATTGTGTCGTTGGGGTTATTTTGAGTTTGGTTTTAGCGAGTTTTTTAACCACTTTTATGACGTTTTATGACGTGCGAGTGTATACACACGTTAGTGCGCGAATAACTGCGCATTGTACATGTAACATTAATGCGTTAAACAAAGAGAAAGTTTGCACAGGCTAAACGGGAAAATCCCTGGGATAAGTTCCGCGCACTCTGCGCGCGTAAACACTGCACTGCGTGCGCATTATACACCAGTAGAGTTTGTTTACTTTGAGGTAACTCACTTCACTGCGATTTCCTCGTACCTACTCCAATTTTTTTTGCTCTCTTTTCAATTCGTTATATATACCTCGAGAGTTTATCCGGCACGCGCGACTAATGTCTAATAAACACGATTGTTATCGCGCTTTTAAATTTAAATGACTCGTAATCGTGACGAATTCCGAATTCGTTGAGTAACTAGCGATAAGATCGAGAGCCTCGGTATATAGTGCGACTTTAGTGCGTGCGAACTAGCGAAAAGAAACGCAGCAGCTCGGAGTGTCGCGACGACTATTTTCTGAATAAGTCGCGTATATTTAGCCGCAACGAGGCAGCCAGCTTTCTCATCAATAAAATATTTTAATGACACTTGCGGCAGAGAAAGTGTTATTGGCCGAGCCGTGCGCGCGCGGAATTTCTATGTTGAAATTGTAAAAGTCAACAATATATCGCGCTAATACTTTTTTCGCTGTATATGACGCGCGCAGCCGCCGCAGTGTATTCCGTTGGAGGCAGGATTTTCTTCTCGTTTAATGCGACGCCAATAATTGCCGTGAAAAATGGTAATTTTTCTGAATTAACATTCCTGTCGCGATAGCTCGGCGAGCAGGTAGTTTTTGAATTTCTCCATAATGCACTTATCGTTCATCCGACGTAATAAGCGCCACTCGCGGCCTTGATAAGTATATGAAAGGTACGACTAGAAGTTTCCCCAGCCGAGTGCAAAAGTTTCATAACGAAAACAACATTGTCTATGCTGTTAGCGACGCTTGTTTTGTTTACCTGTCCTTATCGAGCCGTAGTGCGCGACAAATCTCTCGCATGCCTCGACTCTATGTCATCAATCATCGCTTGACACGTGTGTGCACACCTCGCGAATCTAGTGCATATTCATGCTTCGGATTTTGTGTTTACAGAAGAAAAAAGAAACACCGCAATTTACAATGCTAAATTTTCGTTCTCGTTTCTCTGATTGCAGCAGTTGAATAAAAAAATCATAGCTATGCAGCTGATCAGATGACTGGAGTGGCGCGGATCAAGCTATCCATACGATGAGCGAGATCCTAGCGGTGCAGCCACCGCTGCCGCGCTCGGCGACGAGCGGCGGAGGCAGCGGCGCTCGCATCCAGCACGGCCCGCCACCGACGACGCCGATTAATAATGGCAATTTCGTTGCCGGTGCTGCTGCAGCTAATACCACTACTGGCACCACCGCTACTGGGACACATCTCAAGCGTGGCAAATTGAGCGCTTGCAACGTGCCACTCGTGCACGGCAAGCAACCACAGCCCGGAGCCGCGAGAAGATTGTCCACGCATCAGCGTAATCACAGTCTTGACTTCAGGTGAATTTTCTCTCCTTTTCATCCTTTTTTCTTCGTTTACTGTTTATTTTTCGTTTTTTTTTCTTGTTTTTTTTGCATACTTTTACTCGAGAGAACTGATTAAATTGACAAGACCGAGTTTGATGTCGCATATAGCTCGTGAATACGATGTCTCGTTAAATACGTTGACCTCGTGCACGTCTCTTTATCGAAAACACTTAATGATGACAAAACGTCTTTTATAAAAAGTAATTTGTATCAGCTTGAAGCATGTATAACTCGAGTCGCATAAACTCTCTGTACAGCCAATTATACAAGCTCGTTGCACAGCGTCATCGTATTTGCATGGATTCTCGAATGATCGGGCAATTTTTCATAACGATAAGCGCACGTGGAAAATTTCGTTCTCTCTCTCTTTCTTGCTCAAGTGGCTCGCGGCACCTTATACAGCCACTCGCGATAACGATTCTCTGGCTCCGGCGTCTGGAGTAACATTGATACAACAATTTTTTATTTTTTTTCTCAACGCTCCAATATTATATACAGATCGATGGGCATACTGCTGCCGCCGGTGCCGCAAGTTACGCAAGCACAGGTGCAAACGACGATGACCCTTCATCATCGGAATCGCAGCTTGGACTCGGCACTGCAGCGCATACCCGAGGTCGACGTCACGCCCAGTCCGGAGTGTGAGTCGAATCCAGCCGGCGGCCCGGTCTCCTGCTCCAATCACGTCAACGGACCCGTGCCGATCAAACGCAGCCGCGAACGCGAAGATCTGGCCAGTTTGGGTTCCGACGACTCGGGCATACTCTGCGGCTCCGACAGCGGTTCCAGTGATAATGCCAACGTCAATACCAGGTTAGTTGATTTTTTTTTTTGCAATAGTCAGTCAATTTTTTTTCCCATTTGATAACTCAATTGTAATCTTTCATACTTTTTTGCGACAATTGCTCATAATTTGTAATCGACTTGATCGAATTTTAATAAAAAGAAAGAGAGAGATAGAGATAAAATCCATCTACGTGACCGAGATGCTTATCATGTGATTTAACACATCACGTCTCCTTCATTGAAAAAAGTTTGCAGATTTTTTATGATTAGTTATATTAGACTAAAAAAATTGTTTTTAAATGTTCAACAGTTTGACGCCTATCTATTCACAGTAACTTATTGCTCTATTTTTACACCCAATCCTGTATATTCATTCAACAACCCTTCGGTTGTTATCTCTTCAATTTTAAAAGGAGTCTAACATTTTATATTTTTTGACACAGAGAATCGAGTGCAGACCACTTGCACAGCCGTGAAAGTTTGGATTCGACGTTATCCCATACTGGTGACACCGATGTCGACGTGGTGGATGGCGATTTGTCCGCCCTGTCGCTCGTCGCACCGACAACCGTTGCCGTGTCATCGATTCATCCGAAACTCATACCGGGCAAGGCTCTGTTGAACGTTTATCCGAAAACAACGGAGCAATCTCAACAGCAGCAACAGCTCGAACAGTCGGTACCACCAAAACAACAACAACAACTGCCAGAGTATCAAGGCACGTTAGATTTAGTCGCTGTACCAGCTACGCGGGATCTAGCTGGCGCAGCCATGACGTTGTGTTGTGGTACGGGACAGCCTGAGGACGAAGACAAACCTAAACCAAAAGTGAAAAGGCAGCAAGAGACGGCGCAGCCTAAACCTTCGGAGGGATGCTTACTCAGATTGTTCGAGAGTCAAGTTTTTGACATGTCCATGGCTATCTCATATCTGTTCAATTCCAAAGAACCTGGAGTCCAATCTTATCTTGGTGAGTGAAAATCAATGTTTTTAAAACTCTGCGCTTTTTGTTTATCGGTTAAATTAGGTAGAAAAATTCACGTGTACACACTGTACGCAATATAGATATTTTTCAAAGTATAAAAAGGAAACAAACGATTTTTAACGACAATTTTTTTGTAACAGGTAATAAGTTATTCAGTTTTCCGTATGCAGAATTAGATTTTTACCTACCACAGTTGGTTTTAATGTATATACAATTACACGATGTCACGGAAGTTTTATATCCGTATCTAGTGCATAGGTATGTTTGGAACATTCTATACTTGTAAAATAAAATACCTTATTTAATTTTCATGAAATAATTTTTACTGATTTAATTTCCATATTACAGGTGTCGACTTTCTGTAGATTTTGCGTTGAAATGCGCTTGGTTACTTGATGCGTACAGTTCAGAAGCACAACTAACATCTAAGAAAAAATCACATGGAACCAAGTTGAAAACTTTTATTTTGTCGGATGGACTTAGGTGAGAATTAAATTCGGCTCTTTTTAGATACAAAAAAACAACAACAATATATGTTTAACGTATATGTACTGTTTTTTAGACCAAAGGATAATAAACGTTTACCGATATTGCAAGTTCCGTCGGTCGCAGCTTTGTCTGCTGGGCAGTCGTTAGTTTCACCTAATAAAAAAACCCACCAAAGATCTCAATCTGATGCTACTGGGCTATTTCAAAGCTTACGTCGCAATCAACCCGGTAAAATAAAAAACAAAATTAGTCTTGGAGATTTAAGTTCTGGGCGAGCATTCGACAACGGATGTACCTGCTTTGATTCCTGCCAAGGAGTAGTCAACGATTTGAGGGGTCAAAAGACTGACTGCGTTTGCAATGTGAATATTCCAACTTATTTAAGCAAAATAAATTTGTACCTCATAGTTAAAAATTAATTAATATTTTTGTTATTTGCTTCTTCAGGCACCTCGACTTGCGCCTGAGCTTGAGTTCATTGGAGCGCTGATAACAATTGGCAAATTGTTAAGCACGATTCCTACAAAAGAGGGTAAAACTGCGAGGCTTATTGCTGAATTAAATCTACTTAATCTTAATTTACCGGCAAGGGTTTGGGTACCACTGCACTCAACAGTGCCTCATCACATTGTTCGCGTACCACCCCAATATGCGGCTGTACTGAATAGTAAAGACAAAGTCAGTACTACTTTTATTCAAACTCAATTTTTTCTCTAAATTTCTTGAAACTTATTTTTTGAATTTTATTTTAGGCTCCTTATATTATATACGTTGAAGTTCTTGAAGTAGATGATTTGTATACATCACCAGTGCCAACTAAAATAATGGGAAGTTCTTTAAGACACACCAAATCTGAAGAAAATCTAACAAATGGTGAACAATCATCTGGTCAACAAAATGTGCCAACTGAAGATACGCCACAAACTACTACAAAGCAAACCCCGGTCAGGACAGGACATGGAAGAAATCCAGATGTTATGTTTAATTTCATTGATGATGATCCCAATGATTGTTGGAGTCAAGAAGATGATGAAATAACACAGCAGGTAAAAAATTAATCTTTGAAATTTACCACAATCCTTTCAATGAAAATTCGAAAGTCATTTATATAATCTTTTTTCTGAAACAGTACCTGCAGTTAAAAAAATCGAAAGATCGAGATACGATATCGCAAATGAGCCAAGAATCATCTGACAGTAGAGAACCAGTATTTGTTCCCGGGGATGTCAAACGGCGATTAAATGAAATAGCTTCGGCACCCAATAAAACACCTTTCCATCATGATCCAGATGATCCCTCTGCTGCAGTACTCAAAGAACCTTGGGAGCAAAAGCAAAAACGTATCAAATCGTCAAGTCCTTATGGCCATTTAGCTTCGTGGCGTCTTCTTGCTGTAATCGTAAAATGCGGAGATGATTTGCGTCAGGAATTACTTGCTTCGCAGTTACTCATGATGCTTCAGAAAGTCTGGCAAGAAGAAAATATACCCTTGTGGTTGAGACCGTACAGGTAATTTGAACACTTATTAAAAAAAATTGAGTATTTCGTATCTTTATGTATAAAATCAAGGTCAACTCATAAAGCATTTATATTTTTCTTTTTCTTTTTAATGAAAATTATTACATTTTAAAATAATACAATTTTTTTCAATTTTAGGATTCTTTGCCTTTCGAACGATAGTGGTTTGATAGAGCCAATTCTCAACACAGTGTCGCTGCATCAACTGAAAAAATTAAATTGTCAAATGACTCTGCTGCAATATTTTGAGCAAGAGTACGGTCCTATTGATTCAGAACCCTTCCGCATCGCACAAAAAAATTTCGTCCAAAGCTGTGCGGCCTACTGCCTACTCAGCTATTTGATCCAAGTTAAGGATCGTCACAATGGTAATATTTTACTACATAGTGATGGTCACCTCATACATATCGATTTCGGTTTCATCCTGTCCACGTCTCCTCGAAACTTGGGCTTTGAAACCAGTCCTTTCAAGCTCACACCCGAATTTGTTGAAGTAATGGGTGGAAAAAACTCAGAAATGTTTGATGAGTTTAAATCACTTATGCTCAAAGGATTTATTGCTGCGAGAAAGCATTTGGACAAAATCGTCAACCTTGTTGAAATCATGATATCAGGTTAGTTTTTGAAAAATTGTATGATTCTTCATTTTGATATTGAAGCCACTACTGAATATAAATCGGTTCGTAATTTTCTACTTTAATGCAAAACTTTAATTTAAATTTTTAGGTGTGCAGTTGCCCTGTTTTAGAAACGGTGGTGCCTCAACAGTTCAGGGTCTTAAAAATCGTTTTCATTTGACTCTAACAGAGGATCAGCTGCGCAGACATGTTGATGATCTAGTGGAAAGTAGTCTTCATTCTTGGTCAACGAAACTTTACGACCGGTATCAATACTTTGCGAATGGCACGCTCTAAGAAGACTCTGTTCCTACAAAGTAGCGAGTTTTGACTCACATATAATTATTCGCACATCCGTCAGATTTCAATAAGAGTTTAAAGAACAAATCAATTCTACGTAAAAAATTCAACTTCGTTGCATTCCAAAAATGATTATATAGTAGCAGAGAAAAGTACCTATATCGATAAACATTGGGCCAAGACTGAAATATTTAGCTATGTCCTTGCGCCGCGACTTTAGCTTCTCACTCTAGGAAATTCAAATCAATGCAATTAAATTTTATTTATGGCGAAAAATAATATATTATCTATGTATAATGTAACGCATGTAAAAACATAGACTTATTGTAACGAAAGATTTCTATAGACGTTAATTAGAAGTACCATCGAAATGATTGATCAGCGGTAGATGATGAATCACGTTTATTATACAATTGACGGTAGTTTCAAAGATGAACAAAAAGTGTATACGCATTCGTGGAAATACATAGGCTTTTTGGTATGTATGCATTTCTGACTGACTAATAATTGCGCACTAAATGTTACGGATCGACATGAAGTTGTTTATCATCTGTAGATTTCTAGGAAATTTTAGAGTCTACTGTTGACAAATTAATTTGTTGAAGGTGCCTTACACGTAAAAACACAAATTGTGGAATCAGTGAAATTAATGGAACGTTGAAGAATTCAAAGTATAATACAGTGCAGTGATTGAATTGACCGTTGTGTATAAAATGGACAATCTGCAAATTGTATATACTGTCATTAATTTAGTTATAAATAAATCATCAGTATGTAGAAACATTCGGTAGATAATGACCTGATGAAAATGTGTAAGCCCATGTTAAATGTGTCTCAATAATTTGACAGGGTGAAAAATGTTTAATAATGGAGGTGAATACTCAACATATTTCCTACTTTATATATATAATTACATGTATATATACTGTATGTATAATAAACGAAAAAAACCGTTGGTGTTGCTGTTATCATCTTTTAGAAGAAATAACAGTAATATTATCAACGAAGTTTTCAAATTACAGTCGTAAATTTTTATATGATCTTAAAAATAGATAATTTCATATAGTTTTAGCTCATAAGAAGCGCCAATATTAGCGTCTTTGTTCGGTTAGAATAAATATCTAACAAAGAAAGATGAGCCAAAATATGCGCTATATCATTCTCGTGTATGTCTAAACGACTTATTATTAAATTATGCTTAAAAGTTTAAATGAAAATAACTATTGTAAATAAACTAAATTAAAATTGATTGTTTAAAATGTAACAGCAGATGAATGTGCAAAGCTTGATCGCGAGTCATGTGAAAAGACAAGTCCAAAATTATATTGATGAAGCGTTTCATCAACTTCTGGTGACTGAAGTGTCTTATCATTTTTTTATTTTCATTGTTTCATTGATTGACAAAAAAATTAACAGTGTTATTGAAATAAAAAATGTACATAAGATAAATTTAATCAATGAAAAAAATTCTATTCGAGATACATGTTCATAATTCCATGGCTATTTGAGAGAACGTTTCTTATAGTTTTAATTTAGTTACTTCGTTGTTTTTGATCTGCGTCGTTCTTTTGCATAATAACAAGCTATTACTGACATTGAATATTAAATAAAAAAATCATAATTGATTCGATGAAACTTTTCATTTTTTCCTTGACTCGTTCCCACATGGTTTTAATTTGAATATTTTCTAGTTTTTTTTTTACAGTAACATGAAGGTGTATCTTTTTTTGGGGGGTTGAAAAATGATAGTACAGAAGTATCTTATGCTTGTTATATTTTATTTGTACACTGAGTTTGGTAATTAAATACTTTTAATTGACTTAAGACATTAAGTAATTCATCAAACAATTTTATAAATACGTTAGCTTATCAGTCCTTACAATCTAATTCAATTTTTCAAAAATAATGCAATACAAAACACATACAAACATTTGTATAAGTTACTTGTAATTTTCTACATCATTTTTCTACTTATGACTATCTGTAGTGTACACATGACTACATATTTGTTCTAAGCAGTCTAGTAAATCTAAAAATTATTCTTTCATTAATTTAAAATCAAAATTTAGGTGAGTTATGAGTATAGTAGTTGTTTTGTTGCTTGGTACAGATATGCGTGATTATTGAAAAATAATAATTTTAAATTAAGTAACTTGAATCGTTAATCAAATATCACATTACATTTTGAGTAAAGGGACACCTGGTGAAAATATCGCTCATTACATATCAGTCAAATGCAAAGGGTCACTTTCGCCAACTTAATCGCGTACAATTTAAAGTTTCAAGTACTTAATTGAAATTTATAAATTAGAAATCAAATTTTTGTAATTATTTAATTAATTTCATTTAGATTTGTAGTTTATATTATTGAGTATAAGTGCGCTCAGAAATATAAATCGATTCTATGTTCCAATAAGAAAATTTTTTTGAAATCGGCTATTAAATGAACATGGGGAATTTCCCGTCAGCTAAATAAGTGATGGTAATTTTTAAGAGCATTTATTGAAATCTTAACCGAATATTTTTCAAAGTCTTTGCGGTTATCTATAGAATGAAAAAACCAAGATCACCATAAAGGTTTTGCCTTTCGAAAAAAATATTCAGTAAAAACTCAAATAACACGTTTGGAAATTTTTATTCATATCATACTAAGTTTAGTATACATCAAATTTCAAATCTTTTTCTGAACCAAGTTACATGAATCGCCGCGAAATATTAATTCATGTAATTTAATTTCCCAAAATAAATTAACTAAAAAATAGATTTTCATGCAAATTTTAAAAAAACTTAAGATTTAAATTAAAAGATTCAATTCAATTTATATTTACAAATATAAACATTCGGAAAACTGCATAAAAAATACATGAATGCTGTATACAAGAAATTATAAATAGAAGATTTTTCTCGACGAACCTTAGTATCAAGATGTATAATTTATAAAAATAGATCTAATTCATTTTTTGATTTACTTAAAATTTTATGAAATCACATCCTAAGCGTCAAAATTATAAATAATTTAAAATCTTAAAATTTCATTTGTACAAATTCTTAGTTACATAGAAAATGAATGGTGTGCTCCAACTAAAAGTGTCAACTTTTAGGCTTGTGATCAAAATAAAATTGCCTCTATTTGTTAGTGGAAGCACCCAAAATAGTCATGGAGCAGAAAGAAAAAGTTAATGACGAAATTCTATGCTCTTATTTTACAAATGACCTTAATATTATAAATTTTCCATTGATTTAATATGTAATCAACTAATTATACACAAAAGCATTCTGACGAGCAGAAAATTTTCACCGGGCTCACTTCAGTCTAGAAAAAGCTATTACAATTCCTTTAAACTCTTGATAGTTGAGACATAAAATTTGTTGGTAAAAGAACTTCCATTTTATCTAAAATAAAGTGAAAGGGATATGACATCCAAGTTAAAAGAGATTTAGCTACAACACCCATAGTTTCTGGATATTGATGTGTTAGTAATGCAACTAATGCAGTACATGAGCAAAGCCCAGCTGTAAAAAGAATGAAAAAGGGAAGTTCTTTTTTTGGATATACACTTACATCATGAAATGCAGGTAAGAGTTCTCTATCTGCACACTCTGTGCATGTAGGATATGGATAAAATAAATGACCTCGTTCCAGAGGATATGGTAGCATGCGAAAAGTTCCCTCCCAAGTGCAATGCAATAAATTCAATGCACCTTCCACATTTTTCCAATGTGGTAGGTGGAAGAAAGCATAAGCAATTGCTTCAGAGTCCCCTCGTTTTAACACATGTTCTGGGGGTAATATTAAAGGCTTCATTTCTAGTAGATATTTAGGTACATGTGGATTAAATTCTACTGCCCTATGTATAGCTTCAACAGCTGATATCTCTGCTGGCGTTAAGCCTCTTTTACTAGCTACATCTGGAGAAAATTTTTCAGCAACTGTTCTTGCCTTCAACAGAGCTGCTGTGTAACAAATTGTTGCTGATTTTGGTAAGCTAATATCATCATACTTGGCTAAAACTGCTTGAACATCTGCATATGCTTGCATTTCTAGCAGAGCCTCTATTAAATTCTCATGAATATTGAGAACATTCATAATTGGGGGTACTTCTTTTGTCAAATCCCTAAACATTTTCACTGCTTCTTTAAGCTTACCTAACTTCCTAGCACTCATAGCTAATCTCCTTTTTATGTAGATTAAAACATTAGTATCTCTTCTATGGATAGCTTCCGCTGCAGATCCTTGATGTTGAGTATTTTGTGATGCCTTGTAGTTAGCTTCTGCTATTCTTAAGGCTTGTTTTAATATTCTTTCTGCCTCTTCAATGGTTACAGCTTCTTCTTCTGCTAATAAAATATAGGCTGGTGCACAGTTTGGGTTCAGATCAAGAGCTGAGCGAGCTGCTTTGATTCTTACTATGGGATTACGCTCACGCCAAGCTGTTTGCATAATTTCATAGTCTGCTTTACCATTATCTCCTTCACAAGTAAAAAATGTTTGGTGGTCTTGAGCAGATAAATTCATATCATAGTAAGTCAGTGGTTCTTTGTTAGTAGCCCAATAAAATCGTTGATATTCTGCCCCTCTAAATAAGTTGATTGGATTCCGCCAAACTTTGCATTCCGGTACAGATGATGTGCTAGTTGTACCATTTCCATTAGCATTGGTATTGTTATTGTCTGATGTATTATCTCCTCCACCAATCCATGGAGAAATATGATTCAGAGATACTTGTTCAATGAAAGATGTACCATATTTTCTAAAATACCACCATTCAAAGATCAAAATTAACCCTGAGATGAGGGAGGATGTTCCAGTAAGAGCAACATAAAACTTGGGAGTTAATGTGCTTAAGAACATAGTCGAGTCCCACATATTAGCAAAAAATAAAGCCATGAAGGTATAAACCTTTACAAGTTTAAATTAAAAAATAAAATTTGCTTTTTGTAAAATCAGCTGCAGTCTGAAATTTAATTTAAGTTTCTCATTACCCTATAAACATAGATGTTAAGTCAAATATAAAAATACCTTAAACAGTAAACAGACTCTCTAGTTTTTGCTTTGTTGTAGAACGTTTACACATCTGACAGTTAACACTAGAAATAAACATTTTCATTCATAAATTTAATTAACAAATTTCATAATGCAACAAAATAATTATTTACCTTATGATTTTACAATTTTCTAAGGGCTGTATGACCACATAATCTAATATTTACTATAATTTGCCGTGCTTTCATGCTTCAGGAGTAATTTCGCGGGGTTTACGGCATTTTTGTGGCGCGCTTCGCCTCGAAAACGGTTAATTTTAACCAGACCTGCTCCTTTTTGTTATATCGTGAGAATAAATTCGCGTCAAAGCTATGAGCAGCTAGTAAGCTTCAGAACCAGACGAGTCGGAGTGGACTGTATGATAAACCATTGATCAACTTGTTCTTCGTAGAAGCATAATAAATGTTTGTTGCCTCCTATCTTGCTCGTCTCGTGAAGTCCTTGCCGTATTAATTTCGCAAAAGTTTCGAGAATCTACTGTAGTTTCGTTGCAATCGCACTGCCATTTTGTCAGCGCTTTTCCTTTGAATGCACTGTGCAAATTTGCAATCATCTATGCTCGATTACAGTGTTATCATTTTTAGATTTTACATTTTGTTTCAAACAGCGAGTTCAAATTTTTAGAAAAAAGCTCACAAGCTCTTTTTTCTTACGCAATAATTAAGCTTTGTCTACAATACCTAAAATAGATAATATTTTGATAACTACAAATAATAAAGACAAAACACGCGTAAACAATGATGCGAGATTCTGAATCAAAATAAACATTCAGGCTGTTAGTAAATTTCTTTTTAAAGTAATTTATAACAAATGATGCAACATTTATAAACGTACTTTTCATGCTTGTACTAGTGCAGAATGGAGTTGCAGACTCGCAAGTTGAATTGCAAATTGCACGATTGGATACTGCATCGATTTATGATCAGTACATATTATATACAAATTACGAAAAGAAAATTCTGAATCGTGCGAAAATAAACTAAAAATGATTTGAAGCTTTCATGTTCGTTTTTGTAAAATTTCTCTCAACTCTCAAAAGTGCATTTGGGATGCTCCGAAATTATAAATGATCTTTGTGACTTGTCATTGTTACATCTGTTTTCTGACGAGTCACGAATGGTACACAAATCTCAATTCTCATTGTTGATTTTGTATGTAGTCTGCTATTTTTCAAAATAAAGCAATTATTTCACGAGACATCAGTTGTTTACATTCAGGGAGAATAAATTATGAAAGAATAAAAAAAAAAAATAACACTTGATAGCTATGTTGATAGTCAAAACTTTTATTAAACAGTTTGAGTTGTTTAATAAATGTAATACAATAAGCGTAGGTATCAAGTTATTTTTCTAAGCCAGAGGTTAACCATTTATATTTTTATTTATCAGCCAATGTTTTTCCAACAGGTTAGTAAACGATTTGTAGCGCACAATAAGTGGTTAAAACGAAAAATGAACAGCGAAAAATTACCTCCGCATCGGAGCAATCCGATTATTAAAACTTTGGACACTCCAGAATTCAAGTCAATATTTAACCAAGAATTAAATGATTTGGTTGCATTATTCAAGAAATATAATTATGAAATAAGAATAGCTGGTGGAGCAGTACGGGACATTGTATCTGGTATGAACCCTAAAGATCTTGATTTTGCTACTACTGCAACACCAGATCAAATGAAAGAAATGTTCACTAAAGAAGAAATCAGAATGATTAATACTAATGGAGAAAGACATGGCACAGTAACTTCTAGAATTAACGATAAGGAAAATTTTGAAGTTACAACTCTAAGGATAGATGTAGCGACAGATGGAAGGCATGCTGATGTTGAATTCACAACTGATTGGCTCTTGGATTCCAGTCGCAGAGATCTTACAATAAATTCTATGTTTTTAGATTTTGATGGAAATATATATGATTATTTCTATGGCTATGATGATCTACTAAAAAAAAGAGTAGCATTTGTTGGAGAACCAGCTCAGAGAATTACTGAAGATTATTTAAGAATTTTCAGGTAATATTTGAATATCAACTATTTACAATATTAATATTACAATTTTTATTAAAGAAAATGAGATGCTAATTACATTTTTAACATATTGACAGATACTTCAGGTTTTATGGTAGAATTTCTGAGAGTCCTGATAACCATGATGAACCAACAATTCAAGCTATCAAGGACAATGTTGATGGTCTTGAGAGAATATCTGGTGAACGAATTTGGAGTGAGTGGAGTAAGATTTTGGCTGGAAATTTCCACAAAGAACTAACAAAAAAAATTATTGAATGTGGTTGCGGTAAATACATGGGTCTTCCACAGAAATTAAACTTACAACATTTTGATGAAGTTTGTGAAAGAGCTCAGAAAAATAATATTAAATTAAAGCCTGCTTCATTGGTTGCTGCATTATTGCATACACAAGAAGAAGTGATGGATGCATTTGCTAGACTGAAGTTTACAAATTATGATAGAAATTTAGCTGTATTTATTGTATCTAATAGAGATATTGCTTTGGATAAGAATCCGCTGAAACCTTACCAGAGTTTGGTATTAAAAACAATTGGAAAAACATCAGATGCCAGAGAATATTGTTGTGAATTATTGAAATACAAAGGTTCATTAGATTTATTACAAGAATTTGAAAAGTGGAATGTTCAATTTCCTATAAATGGAAAAATGGTAATGCCTTATGTTAACCAAAACCACAAAATCATTGGTGACATTATTCAAAGTTTAAAAGATGTTTGGTTAGATAGTGATTGTAAAATGTCTGCAGAAGAATTAAAAACTTATATTCCAAATATAGCTACTAAAGCATTATCTGAATGGGAGGAGAAGAGAGAAAAACTACAAAAACTTCGAAATAATCAGAAGAAAAAAAATTCTAAATAATGTTCATGTTGATTGTATGATTTCTGTAAATAAATTTGTTGTATTTTGATAATGGATATTTGTATCTGTTGTTTTTTTTTATAAATTAATAAATCATTATTTAATTTTTTTATTTATATATTGAACGAAATATCATGGATTATCATTTTATTACGCCAAAACTACATATGAAATGAGAAATATTTTTTTTCTACAATAAAAACCGATAATTTAATTTTTCAATAAATAATATACATGCATAAGTTGAATTTTATTATATAATACAAGAGTTTCTATACTTAATTTTCTGCTTTTCACATATAAATTGATCGTGCTTGTTGCATAGTTTTGAATGATTGATTAAAAAAGAGTTAGAATTTTCGTTACGTTAAAATTTGCTGGTTTTATGATAGAAATAGAAGAGAAAAATAACATTATAAGGATTCTACGTTATGCCTATGCAATTAATTTATACAAAACATGGTTATTAGCTAGATAATCTTTTTTTTTCGTGTAGTTTTCATGTAGTTTTTAAATAATTAATAAAATACAATTTTCAGCACGCAAGCTCAATTGAATGGTAATTACCGCATTATTTAAGTTAATATATATTTTGCTATGATTTATTTTGGCCTCGTTACCGAAAACTTTTTGAATTGTAATTTTTTAAATATTTCGAGTGCTGTTGGCAGAGAGCGCATTTTTAAACACCTGTTACATTTGCAACATAATTGCTCGTGTAGAATGACGGATGAATTTCAAAATATGCAGCTTTTTTTTATCAATTAGAAGGATGAGTTGTGCTTCTCATTTCTCTCTCTCTCTCTCTCTTTCTCTCTCTTTTTACCATTAGAGATATATATACGTGTGCTTCTGGTTTTCCAGTGTGCTCATTAGTGCCGTGGAGAATTAGAGTATAAAAAAAGTCAGACAGAAAATGAGTAGAGAAAGAGACAGCAAAAACGATTACACATTCGCGAGACTGCGAGTTGCTAGTAAAATAGAGATGCAACATTAAAGAGACACCATAAAAGGCTCAATTTCTTGAGAGATGGTTAAGAAATATAGTAATATCACGTGACTAATTAGCTCTTGTCTGGTGCTGCTGTTTTACTTTCTTCTATTCATTTAATTGTTGGATCAAAAAAAGAGAAGGAAAAAAAAGGAAGAAAATCAAGAAGGACTAGGTACTGGCAGCTGAGATACATAAATCGAATGCGGCGCGAGCCTTTGCCAATTTGACATAATAAATCGTAGCTCTCGAGCCGTGTAATAAAGCGCGCGTCGTTAAAAGTGGCATCGCATGACTTTTCAGGATGGCTAATTATTTGTACCGATGATATCTCTCGATTCTCGAGCCCGAGCTTTGTGCGCGCCGTGCGGGCGGCCCGCGAGTATATCGCGAGAGAGATTTATGTTTCCTTTTATGCGCGCGCCTATCCTTGCACACAGCTCGTGTGCACGCGCGGATATATAAAAAGTCATGAGGAAACGCGAGCTGCGCCCGAGCTGTCGTCATTGTGCCGCGCACAAGTCAAACAACATGACGTATCGCGTCGATATCGTTACTCTCCTGCTCCTCTTTGTATCCCTGCAGCGAACGTGTCTCGTAAGTTACAAACGCGATATCGACTTTGAGATTATTAGAGAGAACAAACGAAAATACACGTATACGCGGGGCATCATTACTTTTGTATTCGCAGGCTGTCATCGACATAAAATTCGAGGACGTCAACGTCGAATACGTTAATGGCGAGTACATTGATGAGGATTCTTTTGATATATCGGTGAACTACATCAACGATACGTACAACACTTTGAGATGCAAAGCCAAGGTTCTCAAAGACTTTCCCGACAAACTTGCCGTAGGTGCATCTTTTTTATAACTTTATTTCGAGCTCAACAAAACCCATTCGAGCCTCTTTAATAATATCGTCGTTTCAGGTGTCCTTCAAGATGTTTGGCTACGCATCCGGAGATTATAAATTACCCATGGGTATCAACGTCGAGGTGTCGTCGTGTGATCTGAAAACGAAGCCAATCTTCATTGCACCCTTTATAGAAGCCATCGGTGGAGATTTCAAAAAGTGCTCGCCCACTAAGGTCTTGACCTGCTTATCTCTACTGAATTGCGATCGTCAATTTCGATCGTTGCACATGCTTAATCGTACCTATTTTACAGGGTGAATATAAAAACGAGAGTTTTTATCCGGTGAATCTGGCCATTCTTCCCAACATATTTCCCGAGAATAAGTACCGCATGGACGTGGAAGTGAAGAGCAGCGATCTCGTCATCGTTCAAGCTCAGTTTTACATCGATATCACTCAATAGTACATAGACGAACGAATAAAAATGTAGTTGTACCTCGACTGTTAGAGAGGAGGAAAAATTTGATTAAAGAAAGTAGCGTTGACCTTAAAATTCCCAGTTGATATAGTTTGGGCATCGCAATGCGATAGGGGAGGATTTTCTCGCTCGTTTCTCCGTCGCGAAAAGGAGGAAAAGAAACGTCCCGAGTATAGATTTCTTTCAATTTTTCAGCTGAAGCGACGAAAAATCTATCGAGATCAGCGATTTTCACGCAGTATATACACTCGTATACGTACTTATAGCGCGCGAGCTTTTTTATCTGTGTGTGTATACGTGCACGACGTGTATACTTGTGAATCGCGTGAACTGCGCGAGCTAGTGCGAAGAGGAGCCCCGAGAAGGAGGAAGGAAAAAAAAATTGGTCCAATTCGATAGGGCAGAGAGTGGCTATAATACGACTGTCGTCTTTGCCGTCATCCAGACGTTGGAATTTGAGCTTCGTCGATCAAACGGTTAGCGCAGCAGCAGCGAGCCGAGGCTCAAGACTCTCCGGGTATATGTAGCGCACGTAGCCATCCGTACGTATATAGCCGCTGCTGCTGCACACGGCCAACGAGTGTTTAGATTAGCTCCTGCAGACGAGCCGGTATACGCGTGTAGATACGTCGAAATATCCGTGTGTATAGCGCATATAGCACTTTCCATGCTATTCGTTTTCGCTCTCGTAGTGCTCGTTTCCTATACCCGGGCTTTTTTCTCTCTCTCTCACTCGCTCGCTCTTGAACGTAGTCTGTTTATTTTTTTGGTGCTTTGATCTGCACCCGCGTCGACGCTCCAACTTTTTGCATGTCCTAAGCACGCCGTATTATTGTATGTATTGAACGTTCGGCTATCTTGTCTCAAAGCTTATCCGCTGCAAAGAGCCAATGTTTTGCACCATGTTGAATCGAGTGAATCAATTTGTTTCTTTTTGCCGATGTCGGAATATAAAAACCCATAGTTTCGTCATTATTATCTTCGAAATTCGAGTTGTTTTTTTAAAACTAATATTGCAATTGTCTAGTTTAATTTGGTTTATCATCTTCTGAACAAAAATTAGGTCTTTCATTGAAATATAAAAAGATTTATTTTTTAATATCACTGGAACTAAATAATCAAATATTGGTTTGTTGTACTAATACTTGAATACACTTTCGATCTAGATCATAAGATTTATAGAGGATTATATCGTAGAGACGCCGCTGAAACAGTAGTAAGAACAAATTTGACGAGAAGTAAACGTTGCTACAATAACACGAAAGTTGTTTCTGTGATGAAATCGAAATATACTTGTCAATTTTGAAAATCATAATAGTTTTTTGTAAAATCATAACACATGCTTTCGTATTCGCTGTCCAAGGAGCTACTTGATTTTGTCGCTTCCATCCAGCTCTTTCATTCGACGTGGTTATATTTTTTGCTTCCAGCGCCGCATCAACGAGGAATAATACGCGTCGCGTTTGGATCTTGCCTGCATACATAAGTACGAGGCTTTTATGTATGTGTAAGCTTACACAAATAGCCCATTAGTTCATGGCAGCGCGACTACTTGAATTCATGCAAATACGCGAGTGTGTTTATTTTACCTTTGACAAAGATCAAAACGAGTAAAAGAGACATTTCTGCAAGATCGCAAGCATACGGCAGGGAGAAAAGGCTCGGCTCCATCATTTATAAAATTATCTTTATACACGCGATAACGAGGTAAATATATTTATATCAAATTTATCCCGGAGCTTTCGATGGAGAAAGAGGAAAAGAGAGAGAGAAAAAGTTTCTGGCTTGAAAATTTACAATTCAAAGTATCGCGAAAGTCTCTAATTCACGACTTACATATATATTTGCAACGCGGATGAATAGAATTCAACGACAGCAGCGGCGCAGTGCAGGATATAACAATAGTTTAAAGTTACCGTCTGTTTACTCTTCATAAAGATTACAGCCACCACCACCGCTGCTGCTGCTGCTGCTGCCGACGGAGAAAAGTACAGAGTAATCGAATACTCGCGGCGCTGTTATCTAAACGCAGGGGCGAGATACAACACTGCTGTGTACGTAGCTATTGCTGCAGGTGTGTATTTGCGTGTGTGTGTCTCTGTGTGTGCGTATAGGCAAAGCTTTGATAAGTAATAATACCGGAGTTCGGATGTCAAGAGCTACTGCGCGTTCCTGTGTGTGTGTCTCGAGCTCGAGCTCGAGCGAGCAGCAGCATAGCAATTGAGAATTTCGAGCTACGACGCTCGGTAAAAAATGTATATATCTTATCCGCGCGATTCATTAAGTCTCTCTGTGTGCGTTGACGAAATTCATTCATTGTCTCGCTGAACGACGGCAATTATCGTTCGGTCCCGACACCTTGTATACTTGGGCTTTCGGGGCGCTTGTTTTCCTCTCTCTTTCTCTCTCTCTCTCTCTCTCTCGCCGCGTTAATTCACGTTTCCTTAACGAGGAAGGCGTCGCACGCGCGGCTTTGAGCAAACTACTCTCTCACTCTGTCGCTGCTACGAGGCTTTATCGTGAAACGCGACGAGCAAAAGACGTAGAAGAGGAGGTAGAGAGAGAGAGAGAGAGGCAGAGGCAAAGGAAGAGGTGAAGGAGGAGGAGGAGGACAATCCTCCCCCGCCCCGGCACAGCGCAGTGCAGTGCAGTGTCGCCGTGCGCGAACCAAGAGAGCCGGGAGCGCACGTTTATATAAGATGATAGATGAGACCGAAGTATGCGTGTGCGGCCGTCAACGCGCGCCGCAGCAGCAGCGGCCGAGCTTTTTGCCCAAATAATCTCGCCCCGGGAATTTTGAGCCGCTGCGCACGGGGCGCTTAAAACGCGATAATCGCTTTGCTACTTGCTCGGCTGCTGCTGCTGCTACTGCCACTGCCGCTATACTCTCTCGAGCTACTCACCCCCAACGGGACCTACCCACTGTCTTGTGCATGATTAATACGCTCCGAGCGAGCCGCGCGCGAGCGAATATGCTCTTGCTTATTATATGTATGCCGGCACTGAAAGGCTAATGTCGTAAGCGATGGTGTGTTTGCATCTGTCTCTCTCTCTCTCTCTCTCTCTCTCTCACTTTTGCACACTATATGCGCGGCACGAGCTCGTGTACTCTCTGCATAGACTCGAAGCTGACCTCGTTAACGCATTTTTCAATCGATTAATACACGTCGTTGTCGCGCGTTCGCTCGCTCGTATACGCGCGTATTATATATAGCCGCAAGCTCGCTCTGCGCGGCAACGAAAAAGTATAATTCGTCGTTTTTGCAGCCAAGCCGCAGTCAGAGCTTTCACACGCACGTACGTATAAGTTGCGGCTACGGCGGCGTTTATCTCGTCTACGTACATAGGCAAACTTTCCTCGTAATCGTAGAATCTTCGATGTCTGCTTAATCTTTCTCTTTCTCGCTCCGGCTCCGAGAGAGAGAGAGCTATTGTGTTTCGTGCGCGCGCGCACGAGCAGGATTTTGGTTTAATTAGACGGAAGAGCTTGTTAAGTAACTTTGATGAATTAGCGCGCACTTCCCCCCTCTTCCTCACTCTCTTACTCACTCCGTCTGTCTGCCAAGCTCTATAGAGTACCGCGGCATATATGCTCATCTGCGAGCGCGTACACACATACACGTAACTAATCGAAAAGTTGCGAGCTTTACCACTCGAGTTCTTAAATCTGTCCTGGGCAAAATGATTAATTTTGTCTCATTTATATTTGTAAATTACGTTTCGCGGTCAATTAATTAAAATTAATGCATTGGCGTCTACGCGACTCTTCGATTGCATGACTTACACCTTTTTTACGCAGCATAGTCAGCATTTTCTTTAGTGAAAAGTGAAATGAAAACGAGCCAGAGCTTTTATGCATTATTTCATTTGCTCGAGTCTTTAAAGATCGTTATTTACTTGTAGATAGCGATTGTCACTAGGTACTGCATCACTAATTTATAAAATCATTGCGTACCTTTAGCAAGGACATGGTAACCTGGACGAAAGGTTTAATCGTGATTTTCATGCTTCACTGACTAACTTCAATGCTCGAACGATTGAAAACGACTTGGCACAAACGGAGAACTTTCAGGAGTAGCCTCCGTAAAAAATCTTCAAAATAAAAAATTCAAAGCAAATGGTATAAAAGTACAGTTTTTAAAATATAAAAAAGTAGTTTGATTTTTATTACGTTATCCTAACTGATGATTAGGTGATTGTGAGATCAAATTAAGTATTCAATATTTATGAATATAATGATGGATGAAAAAAGTGTATCGGTTTTATTATCGCATGTAAATGAAATACGTTCAAGATGTAGAATATTATTTTATGATTTATCGATGAATAGCGCATATAAAAGAAAATGTACGACGCTGTGCCTAAAGAATGATATACTATCAGGTTTTTTTAATGAAATCTTCCATCAAGTCGTATGTCTTACTTGAATACTATACCGCTGCGAAAATGTCGCCTCGGGCTCTCTCGTCTACGGGCAAAAACACGTATGATGAAATTTACACGCTAACGATTTCGCAAAAAATAATTTCTCTCTCACAAACAGAAAATAACAATAACAATAATAATAATAGCGAGAATAAAATGGAAAAAAGCTCTCGAAGAGGTGGAGAGAAAAATGATTGCTCTTCGCTAACTAACGATTCGCCGCCCGGCCCGCATTTTTCACGAGTGAGCGACCGCGTGGAAATCCTCGTGCGCGCGTACGCGCGTAAGTGTACACACGTACAAAGCCGCGCACTCCCATTTAAAACAAAATAATTTATCGGAGCTGCCCCAGCTCTGTGTGTGTTGGTGTGCTAGTGCGAGGCGAGGGTGTGTGCAGCGGAGCCGAGCCGAGCCACGTATACCGCGTCGGGCGGCACAGGAGTGTGCTGCAGTATATGTAGCGGCGGCGGTGGCAAGTCCACGTCTGGCATGGCATATAGTATACGCAACTGGTTTTGCCCTGGCGCAAAGCAAACAAAGCTGCTTTTCGCGTTTCGAAGAGGCTTGCGAGGCCAGCCGCTGCTGCTGCCATCGGAGA